TCTCTCTCTCTCTCCCTCTCTCCCTCTCTCCTCTCTCCCTCTGCCCTTCCTGGGAGTGTCTCTCTCTCTCTCTGCTCCTAGCTCACTTGTGCCCTCTCTAAATAAATAAATAAATAAATAAATAAATAAATAAATAAATAAAAGGGCCTACCAACTACTTCGCACAATTGCTGTAAAAGACTCACAGTTCAGGCACATTATTCTGAATTTTATTTTTATTATTCTGAAATTTCAGAATGGCAGGGATTTAAAAAATAAACCTAAGCGAGAAAATAGATCACAGACTAAGAATCAGCAACACTGAAAGCTAGAAAACAATGGAGCAAAGCTTTAAAAATATTTAATGAAAGTTTTAATCTAGGATTCTATAATAGACAAGTATAAATGAAAAAATATATTTTCATACAGTAGAGTCTCAATTTACCTCACGTGCATCCTTTCTTGGGGTGCTACTAAATGTGTATTTCACCAAAACAAGAGAATAAACTAGGAAAAGACATGGGATAAAAACAAAAAAGCAGAAAATGAAAATGAAACAAACATCTAATGCAAGGCAGAGGCTAAGGATGAAAACAAAAAGAGGTCTTGGGATGATGGCTGTTTAGATGGTTTAAAGAGCAATCAGTCCAGAATTAGATTGTTCTCTGCAGGAAAAATAAGTTTTATTTGTGTAGTAACTTGTATTAAGTATCTTACAGAGCTGTTTAAAGATATGGAGAGACTTGACTTTAGGTCTGAATAAAACTAAATGAATGGGGGAAATGAAGAAATTAGTGAAAACCCAAAAGGTGTTCAAGAAAGAAAATGTAATTATAATGCACCACTTGGCTTATTAGTGAGTAATATTTACTTAAGCATAATAATTAAAATAATTAACAAATTTGGGGCGCCTGGGTGGCTCAGTCGGGTAAGCATCCAACTTCAGCTCAGGTCACGATCTCGCAGTACGTGAGTTCAAGCCCCGCGTCAGGCTCTGGGATGATGGCTCAGAGCCAGGAGCCTGCTTCCGATTCTGTGTCTCCCTCTCTATCTGCCCCTCCCCCGTTCATGCCCTGTCTCTGTCTCAAAAATAAATAAACGTTAAAAAAAATTTTAGAAAAAAAATAACAAATTTAAGCAAAACTTATGATATAAAAAGGATGGGCAAGGCAATAAAAGAGATGTAATAAAAGATATAAAAGAGTTAAAATCCTTATCTACCATAAAGAAGTCGTTAAATAATGAATGAAATTGTTCAGTTAATATAGATAGAAATAGGGAAACAAATACTAGAAGAAACAACTTAAACAAGTCAATGTGGCCATCTCTGAAAAAGTGAAGTGGGACAGGAGTGGAGTGGCAGGGGAGGGCTAATGTGTTGAAGCCATTTTTCCCTTTAACCACTATTCGATTTTTAAAACTAACTATGTAATTACCTTATTATTTATTTATTTATTTAGAGAGCATGAGCACGGAGGGGCAGAGAGAGGGAGAGAGAGAGAATCCCTAGCAGGCTCCACAATGTCAACACAAACCCTGATGCAGGGCTCAAACTCACAACCCATGAGATCATGACCTGAGCCAAAGTCAGACACTTAACTGACTGAGCCACCCAGGCACCCCTATAGTTACTTTAACAAAAATAAAAATTAATTTCAAAAGTGCTATGTACTCCAGATTGTTTCAAGCCAAGATATATCAGGCAAATGTGAACAATAGTAGGAAAAACCCAAGATGATACTAATAAGAAAGTAAATTTCAAAGTAAAAAGCATTAAACAAGACAGGGAAGATTAGTTTGTTGTGATAAAAAGTTAAATCTAAAATGAATAAGTAAGTCTAATAATGTAACATCAAAACTATAAAGTAGGGTTGCCTGCCTGGCTCAGTCAGAAGAGCATGCGACTCTTGATCTCGAGATCATGAATTCAAGCTCATCTTGGGTGTAGAGATTACTTAATAAAAATTTAAAAACTTAAAAAATATATACAAAGTAAAAACTGTTAGAAATACCAAGAGAAAGAAACACAGCTGTGATAGGAAACTTTAATATCATAATCATAACTCATGTTTGGATAAATAAGATCTAAAGACATATATAAATAATACATATTGAATTTTGTGCCTTGCAAAGAGAAAGCTATTTCTTTTCTAACATTTACAAAAGTTGGTAATATTTTGGTCACAACATATATCTCTATAAATTCAATAAAGTGGTCCTGAACAAATGTCACTGGCTATAATGAATTATGTATAAGAAAGGAGAGCATTGTGCAGGGTGGAAGTATTGAGAGACTGACTCCTAATAGGCAGAGTTGCCTACTGAAATGGCAACAAAAGGTTGTTATAGCCTAGATGATGATGCCTAAGGGCTCTCTGTCCTGGGCAAGACAACGCCTACTCCTTCTCAAACCACAGCATGAGCTAAGACCACTCTCTACTCTTCCATTTTTTTTCCCACGCATGTAAATATTACCAAACATCTTAGCTGATGATGATCTCAGGAGAAAATTTTATGAAGGCAAAAACCACAAAACATCTGAGAACAACACAATAAGTAATATGTGACAGAAATAGCAATGAGATATAATTGACATATAACATTATTAGTTTCAGGTGTACAGTATATGTATATATTATGAAATGGTCATCACAGTAAGTCTAGTTAACATCCACAAAACTTCACATACTTAACAAATTTTTTCCTTGTGGTAAGAAATTTCTTAAGATCTACTTTCTCAGCAGCTTTCCAATATGCAATACAGTATTATTAATTATAGTCACCTACATTATAGTCACAGTATAGTAATGCTGTACATTAGTGGTCCACTTAGAAATGTCTTCTGTAGCTTTGCATTACCAAAGCAGTTATTTTTGCTTACTTTTCCATTACTCAGACTTAAGATAAGTTTCTATCAGTTTGAGTTAGTTTTCTCCACACAACTAAATCAGATAAAATACACTGAAATCTCTTATATATTCACTTAGCCATTCTTTCTTGAATACTTCAGACTTTAGTTATACCTTTCATGAAACAGTATTGTTTAAAAGCATGTAATTGTTGCTGATCTTTAAAACTTCAGAATAAACACATTAGGGACAGATCTTAAAGTATTTGCAAACTGCTAACCACCTTATCTTCCTTCATTCTTTCTGCAATGAAATGTTCTTAACCTGAACTCTATTAGCTTTTCATTGCAAGATGGAAAAAGCCTCCTGTTTCATGTTGTAAACCTTTAAGGAAAAGACCTTTATGTCATTCTGAAAATTTTAACCAGGATTTATTTAAAACCCTCCTCTCTCAACTTTAAAAATTGGCTAAAACAATTTTTACTTGAAAAATATTTATAGGATATATTTTCTCTTTTATACTGTCAATTTGGTCTTTTTCATATATACCAATTTACATCATTTCCTTGTGCGTATACTACCTGCAGATTACCTCAACTCCTTTATTTTCACTTTCTATCTGTTGGGTTTTTTTTTTTTTCCTTTTTTGAATGCTCTTTAAGAAAGTTTATTTTTTTTTTCAACGTTTATTTTTTTATTTTTGGAACAGAGAGAGACAGAGCATGAATGGGGGAGGGGCAGAGAGAGAGGGAGACACAGAATTGGAAACAGGCTCCAGGCTCTGAGCCATCAGCCCAGAGCCCGACGCGGGGCTCGAACTCACGGACCACGAGATCGTGACCTGGCTGAAGTCGGACGCTCAACCGACTGCGCCACCCAGGCGCCCCAAGAAAGTTTCTTTAAAAAGAGTCAAAGTCAAATCAGTTTGTTTACCCGTCTAATCTTGACAAAGATTTAATTGAGATTGAAATAAAAACTATAGCTAAAATAAAACTTTAAATTATTATGGACAAAAACTATACATTACTGGTTTTGCTCATATTTGTAGGTACTGTCAAATCTGGCAGAATCTAAATGAACTATGGGCCATTAGCTAATTAATAAATCACATAAATAAGTTGGCCCTTGCATAAACATGTCATATGGACTCTACCATATGACAAGTTTTAAGTAACATTTTCATTCTCAGTAGTTCATTTCACCAAGCATTTATTGAACATTACACTTGAAAAATAATATTTGAAGTGCTGTATGTATAGTTAGTAAGACCACCCTTAAGATTACATTCAGCTGAGCCTATAGTCTTTTCCTAATCCTAATTTGCTTGTAATGTAATGTTACATTAAAAAAAAATTTTTCTTGTGTGAATACTTGGTGGACTCAAAGGTGTTTTTAAATGTATTAAAATTAGTAATGGGGAACAAGGCAAGAATGTCCATTTCATTTCTCCATTTCAACACTGTACTGGAAGTCCTAGCTAATGCAGAAAGACAAGAAAAGGAAACAAAAGTATACAGATTGGGAAGGCAGAAATAAAACTGCCTTTGTTTGCAGATGACATGATTGTCTATGTAGAAAATCCAAAAGAATTGACCAAGAAACTTCTGGAACTAATAAGCAATTATAGCAAGGCTGTAGGATACACGGTTAATATGCAAAAGTCAATTGCTTTTCTGCTTACCAGCAATAAATTAAAAATGAAATACTTAGGTATAAATCTAACAAAATGTGTACAAGATCTAGATGAGAAAAAGTATAAAACTATGATAAAAGAAATCAAAGAATTAAATAAATGGAGAAATAGTCCATGTGTATGGATAGGAAGACATCATATTGTCAAGATGTCAATTCTTCCCAACTTTATCTACAGGTTCAACAGAATCCTAGTCAAAATCTCGGCAAGTTATTTCGTGGATATTGACAAGCTGATTTTAAAGTTTACATGGAAAGGCAAAAAACCCAGAATAGCCATCACAGTGTTAAAGGGAAAGAACAAAGTTGGAGGACTGATACTATTCAACTTCTCTCACTTCTTAATATTCAATAAAATTAGTACACATGTTCTGCAAGTATTGTGTAAATGTTCATTGATGTCCTACATTCATTTACTCTAATTTGTTTTTTCTTTCCTGTTCATTTCTGATCTATATTTTCTCTCTTTTTACTTAACAGACAGTGTGGAGCATTCATTATTAAGACAACTGGGCAGCTCTAGTCCAGCTCAACTGATTTCTTGTCCAATGATCCTTGTGTGGCCAAGATCCAGCTTCAACGAACCGTCTAGAAGCTGCCCATTGTGACACTTAGGGTTAGTTAATACCTCGCCATACTTATTTATTCCATTATAAGCTGTCTAAATTCGATGAAATTTGCTTTTTCAGCTGTTCTACAAAACTATTTAGGTAGTTGTGGCATGTTGGTTTGTTTATGTGTTAATCTAACTGTAGTGACATTTTCTACATGTTTTATCCATTCCATAAATAATAACCACATTGGGAATAGTGAGGTGTCTTTCATTTTCTCTGCTTTGTGTTATTTCTTTTCCTCTCAATCTTTTAGGAGTAATATTTAATAGTCATTACTATTTATTTTAGTATTTAGGATAAGAGTCCTCTCTAATGCTAATAGAATTTTTAATACTTTCATGCCTTGTGGTATAAGTACATTTGATCTTAATGATTCAGTTCTAATACTGGCTATTTTGTCATTTAATATGTTTTTGACTGAGTTTTTATTTATTATTGCTATTCCTTATTTAATTTTGCTTCTGCCATGGTTTTCAAAATTTGAGTAATATTTATACTTTTTTATAACATTTTCCAAATATTAGAAACACTTCAACATGATCAGTTTTCTTAACTTTTCATATGATTAATTTGACTATATTAAATTTTTACTCTAATATTTGTGATAATGCTGAAGCCTTTTATAATATAAGCCATTTGGTACCCAAATTTATATAATACGGTTCACCTAGAATTGTTTTGATAAAAGAAGGGCTCACCTCTGACATCCCATAATACTGACTGATACCCCACTATATTTTGGTATCCTCTACTGCTTTAATATTTTGACTTTTTATTCTTATGTGTTACCAATATATTCAATTATATGTTATTAATATTTTAAAAGACAGTTATTTTCATAAAAAGCAAAGCTATTTCTTACACCAAAGGAAAACTTTAAATTCTGATTCTAAAGCCAATCTTATTATAAAATTAGAAAATAGGTAGGGAGGAAAAGCCATTGTTCAAAAGTTACAAATTGTTTTCATCACTGTAATTTCTGTAATAGTATAAAAAAATCCACTTTACATTCATTTGCAATTCTTTTACTTGACTTCCTAATTTTAGGTGAGAAGAGGAAAATCCATAAATATTGGCATTACCCTAATTTATCTCTCCTCTCTCCTTTTCTATGCCCAAATGTATTACATGTTCAACAGCATAAGCAGAAATAATAAGACTTAGATCCCAAAGATTTTCCTGATGAGTCAAATAAGGTGTTTCTTTTGAAACCATAATGAACAGTAGGACTATATGATTATATATTAGCCTACAGGTATTCCATGCACATTAATTATTCTGTTTTTAGAAATATAAATAGACTAATAAGTCCCACAATGAAATTTCAAAAGTTTTTGTTCTGTAAGTAAAAATGATTAACCACTGATGTTAGAGATATTTTAATAGCACTCTCCTTGATTTTCAAAATGTTTAACATGATGCTAAACAAATCCTGGACTGTTAATAAAAGTTAATGATTTATTATTGGATAAGGAATTTTGATAATAATTGATACCCAAGTGTGTTTCTTCCACAAAACTATAGAGATCTGTGTACACACATATACTACGTACACACACACACACATATAGATTATATACACATACACATTATATATACATACAATTCATATACATACTTTCTTAGAATTTAGCTTCATTTTGTGAAGCTAATTAAAACTGTGGAAATCACTGTCAACCAGAATATATGGAGGACATCATCAACTTTCTTTACGACCTAGTTTGATAGCCCAAACAGGTTATTTCTAAAACCAGATTGAGAGGATAAAAATTCTCCTTATATAACTAAGTAAAAGCCATTTTATTTTTCTCTTTTTTGTAGTATATCATCTATAGATAAATTTGAAAAGTTTCTATTTAGTTCTATTTTGAAAGGCCAATCTGAAGACATCTGAGGAAATTCACAGGGTTAGAGTGAAATGGATAATACAAATATTAGTATCATCACATGTACCAAAATCACAAATAACTTTGCAACCTGTTTTCCCCAAATCTCTAATATAATCAGAGATAGAAAGATGGTAGCATGTCAAAAAATAAAGGATCTTGGAAAATTAAGACTTTAATTTCTTTCCTGTCAGCCAATTTCACAAGAATGGCTTAGAAAAAGAGGTATGATTTAGTTTGTAACAATGCTTTATAAATTTCTGCCAATAATGACAGTACAATATTTTCAAACAAATTTATACATAAGTCCCAGACGTAGGAGTGTGTTTCATGGGTTTGTGGTGTATTTAAGAAAAATAATGAATTGGGGTCACATACACAAAAAATCTTTGTATCTCTCTCAGAAGTAGTGCTTGGATAGTATTATAATGTAGAATCAAAGGACTAGAAAAGACTTTACAGGGGCATTCAATCCAACTTTGATATCATGTTTCAACATGCCCTGTTGTTAAAATAGTAAATTGCTGGCCCCTAGACCTATACTTTGACTAAAATTTATTCTGAAATCTCTATAGACTTCAGTAGAAAGAGGCAAATTTTTCAAAAAAGATGGGCATAATAATCATAATTGGTGCTGTTTCTTTCAACTCTATTCAGTGTTTTCATTCCTAGTGCATAAATTCCTAAAAAAATATGCTACCAGCTTCTGTTCTTCCATGTTTAGTACCACTCTCTGATTAGCAGCTACAGTTATTGCTGTTTGTTTCACATGCTCTATGTGTTTTTGTCTCTTTGCTTTTATGTATTGCATAAATTTACTGATACTTTCTGCATTCTCATGATTCCTCTCAAAAATCAAGTGCCATTCAAGACCACTTGTTTTATTTCACATTGTCATTTTTGTCCTTTCCATGTAATATAATCCTTCAGTTTTCTGTTATACTAGTTTCATGGTTACCTTGATACCTACTTTGTGACCTGTCAGAATCTAGAAATAAAATAACAGGCATCAATTTTAAATTTGTAAACTAACAGATTAAAGTTTTCCAGTTTTATCATTCTTTTTAGTTATGCTGCTTAAAATAGGATCAACTAATATATTACCAAGGCTGACTGTATTGAAGTTAAGATACACAGTAACAGGCTGAATAGTCATTAAAACATTTTATTTAAGCTAGTAAGTGATACCATATTGACATCTGACTTGTTTTTAAAACATGTAATTAAAAATTTTTCCATCTACCGATTTGTCAGTTTTACTCATTTGATGCGTATTTCTTAGTTAAAAGAAGCCAATACTTGATTATTTACTAATATTTTGGTACATAATTTTAGTGAGGCTAGTATGTGTTAATCTCAGTTTTGCATTTCTGTCAAGGTATATACCCACGAGTCAATGTCATTTAGTATTTCTCTAAAGAGGATATGAATCAAACATCTTGGTGTACTTTTTTCCTTTGGAAAACAAGGCTATGGGAAGCTGCCATTCTATACCTAGGAACTAAATCCCTCCCCTTCCTTACCTGCTAACAGTTTTTTTCCTCACTTCAACCCTTTTACTGACTGGTTTTTGTTTCTCATCAGAGAAAATTTGGAGAGCCCTAGATCCTCACACTTTTGGACGTCCTACAAGATCCCAGTATACCCGTAGGCCTAGAGAGAGGATTTCTAATAAGAATGTCCTTTGATTAGACTCTTTTTTCTTTATGTCTTCCTTTATGAAAAAGAGGATAAAATACATCTCTCAGAATTTTTCTTTCCTGGGGAAAGTAATGCTTTTGAGAAGATGATAATTTTTTGTGTTGCTATTTTGTTTTATAAGAGAGTCAAGATTCTCCTCTAAAGTATAAAGTCTTCAAAGTGTCTCAAAGCTCTTAGCATTTTCTTCCCCTTACTCACCATTATCAAGTTCTGTGGCATTTCCTCTAGATCTTTGTCTTTGATAGGTTTCAATACTTTAAAAAGGAGTTTTCCCTTTGGTAAATTCCAAGCTAAATCTCCAACTATACTCTTCCTGTCCCATGAATTCCCTAAGTCTACCAGTTGTCCTCTTCCAATCTGGAAAGAATTCCTTGTGTATTCATCTGAATATCTACTTTCCAACTTGTTTTCCAAGTACCATGTCCTTGTTGTTTGAATCACTTAAAACAAAAACAAAAACCTGAGTGTGCTAACAAAGAGAAAGACCTCCATCTGGTTTTCCCCCATTCTGGCTATTAGCATTCTGAGGGACCTCTATTTTGTATTTTGTATAGAATTTCTCCAGATTTTTAGAGACCCTGACTCTTTTATTATCCACCCAACTCAATTAACTTTCTTGTACTTAAAATGGTAGGGTTTAAGGATATTTACTGTGTAGTCATTATTTATGGTTTCATTTTCACATGTGGCTCTAAACTGAAAGAAAAGAAATGCAATCAGATACACTTAATTTTGGAAGAGTTTTTCCCAGCTTCAACATATTTAATGATGTTTAAATTCACAGCATATTCCTATAACAGCTATCTATACTGGCCTAAATATATAAACCTAGTAATACTAACCTGACTTCTAGATTTGGGGAATAATGGCAAGAGGAAAAAAAAGGATCTTTCCTGGCCTTGACTTGCCTAAGAACAGGAATAAAGAGAATTCCTATTAACCCAAACAATCTGATTTGATAGAATTTCCAACAGTGTAATCTAATATGAAAAAAAATCAGGCAATGTGGAGAAAGATGTTTTGGCTTAAGGAATCCAGCTTACAAGTAGCTAATTCATGCTTAAGAGAGTATAATCCTTAGTTTTCACAGATTCTGTCCTTTTATTTCTGAACTCATTGGTACTCAAAGTTCCACGTTTCTCACAGTGGTTCCCAATAACAGAGTGAGCATTTTGGAAGAAAGCCAAGATAGCTTTTGCTTAACGTGGAATATTACATCCTTTAATCTTCAATTTCTTTTGCTTTAAAATAAAGATTATAAAAGGAAATTTTAAAAGATGACGATCAGGAAAAGAGTTACTTACCTTTGTGTCTAATTCCTAAAGATCAGATGCAACTATAGAGAATGCTACTTAACACACATCTTTTTGTACATCTCTCTATATCTTATTCTTGATTTCAAAAAGGCTATCCTG